GCAGTGAAATGATCCTTTGACATAAAACTTAAAAATGCAAATGTACACCATTTAGATATTATAAAATTTTCATCATTAGTAAAGTTCAATTCAGCAAGAAACGAGTTAACCTTTTGTCTTCTTTTGATTTAATGATGTTGAGTACTCCATCTATGCTTGGCACAATCTCTTAGTGATGGAATAACAACATGACTTGGCGTAGTCGGTCCTTGAGATGGTAGCACTAGTCCAATTGATAGTTTAAGTTCATATAATAGCAAGTGTCTTGCACGATTACTTTGCCTTGGTGTACTGGTGGTAATCGATCTGAGTCAAGTCTCTCTCTTTAAACACAAATATATGCTTTAACCTACAATCATACAAGCCATGCAGCAGCCTTTCCTAATGAATACAGTAAGATTTGGAGTTGAGCATAGCCTTAACCTTGCATTGATGTGCAATAATCACATTATGTGTGAATGGCCTTGGCCAGGGTGTATCAATATACTGCTCCCAAGTCCAATGTTAATATAATGTTAATACTTGGTAGGAGTTTAGCATGTGCATATATGTGGGTGTATGATATTGATCATAGTGCATGAGGAGTATCTATACAAGTCACAAGAGTTTGACAAAGTTCAATGGAATGGCGAGTAACCAAAATGTATAAGGTTTAACCATGATAGTACATTTTTGGCTCCGGTAGGAATTTATATCAAATGAGGAACTTTCAAATTTAAGTCAAACTAGGATTAGGATCATAGTAACTCTTATTTACTATCTCGTATCTTGCAATAACTTAGACTCAGATTAGCAAGTGCAGCTCATTTACCTCAGGTTCCCAGATAATTGTTGGCTACTTATATTTAATCTTTGAGAGAGCACTTACCTATGAACCCATATATAAGAGATATAAAACAGAGCAACTATTCATCATTTCAACAAAGAGAACTAGCTTGTCTTACCTAGCATGACTCAAACCTATCCTATCTTTTTGGTATTTTCTATTTTGCAAATTTTTATGTTGTTTTCAGTTTATAAGATGCAATTGGAAAGCAAATATGCAATTTGGAAAGGGAAATATGCAATGTGATACAAGTTACCTTAGTGGGGGAAGAAATGTCTCCCCCCAAGCTTGGCTTTCGCTCAGGGTCCTTGATAAGGATTGAACCCCTGGAAGCGGAACTATGCTTGAAGGTCATCATGCTGTTGCTGCATCATGTCGTTGATGCTGGCGAACTGAGCATCAGCAGATTGTTGCCATTCTTGCGTTTGTGCTACATGTTCCATGAGGTTGTACTGGATCTCCCCCGTCTGCATATCAAGGGTATCCATTCTCCTAGTAATTTCACCCAAGTCCCAACGAGAGGATCTCGAGCGCTATTCACTTCGAGATGGAGGCACACCACTTGATCTGGGAGGTTGGTTGTCCCCCGAATGTATGTCATGAGACGCATGCCATCGGTCCTCACTGGCACTTGCCCATCTTGAGACTCTGATGTTGTGACATGGAGCTTGGGTCCATCCGGGTGCATCCCCAGTTGGTTCCCAACCTGCCTCATACATCTGCACGGGTGTTGAGGATGGTGAACTTTCCTGTTCGTTCCTTGTCATGTTGCGCGTCTCCCTGTTTGCTCCACCTACACGAGATTCTTCTATGGTCTGCAGGGGAATGGTTAGTTCATGGCAGTTGTACAAATGATTCCTCGCATTTGGCAACGGGATTTCATTTGTACAACTGGAGAAAAAGTATAACAAAGATCCATCTACTCCATGTTTCAGAATATGCCCTTGCACTAGATAAGTCTCATCAATACACGGACGAGCGGCTGACATAAAAGCAATTTGGTTGTTAACAACCCCGAGCCCTTTTGCTATCCGAGTAATTAGAGAAGTGCAGTCAACAGGAGAAGAAAATCTTATATTCTCTAATCATTGTCTTATCATACATTTCACATGAGCAATTTTGATCTTTCAAACCATGGTAAACATGATAATCAATTCATCCCCCCTAATGGGTCTAAGATCACCTCTAGGAAACAAAGTTATAGCAATCCATTTGTGCATGAGCCAAAGTGTAGGATTATGAATGTCATTCGTCCTAGGTTTCTTGCAAATTGGAGCACCAGAAATATCTTCCCGAAACCTATTTTTTCTCGAACCCAGAAATTCCTTTCTAGAGATCGATTTTACAGGAATCGTGAAAACCAAGAAGTGTACTTAAGCCTTTCCATGTAAGTGTATACTCCTTATGGAAGAAGCGAAAATAAATTCCATCTTCTATTTCTTTCAAAGTGCACAGAATTTGCAAAGTAAGCAAACGAGAACCAGGTTTATCTACCACAGGAAATCTCTGCCATCAAACAACTTTCTAAATAGCACGAAATTCAACATCCATACCTATCTTTTTCAGCAGCTCTGGAGAGTATTCTCGCGTGTGAGCATATTCCTAGTCACTCAGCATGTAGTAGGCTTGTCTTTCCCGATCACCGACGAGGTCGAGGTCGGTATCGTTCAGGAGTCGTCGCGGAGCTTCGGCGTCTTCCATCGAGACATCAGCTGATGAATGAGTGCTAGACTCGTCATGATGACTTGATGAAGAGCCGGACCCCTTGAACAGACGAGACAATCGCCTCCTCATTCTGCACAATGGAGCAAGAACGGATTAACTCGGCAGGGTTTAGAAATGACAAGAGTTTCACCTGCCGATTAGTTTCAGCAAAGCACTTGTATGTATGCAACTAGTATTTGAATTTGAGGGAAACTATCAAAGCTTGCTGAAATGGGGTGGATTTCCCTCTCTTGGCCGACTGGTTTTTATAGGGTACCCACAACGGTTAAAAATGACATGTGGGACCACTAGATGTTACCCTACCAAAAATGGCAAATAGTCGTTGCCTGGCTGGTTCGGCCGAACCCACCAGTGGGTTCAGCCAAACCCCTGGTATGCCCAACCGGCCCCACTTTTGGCCGTTGGATTCCAACGGTCAGCGCGGTCGTGGCATTGTGAATTTTCGTTGAAAATTTTATTTTGGTTTGCTCTGAAAAATTCATTTGAAGAATTTCCTCAAAATTCAAAAATCCTAAATGTAATTTTGAAATTCAAACATGTGTTGATGCAAAAATTCAAATTGGTGAAAACAAATATGCGGATACATACCATTTTACCTGTTGGCGAAGGTCACGTCATTTTAAGTCCGACGTGCAGGACTGTACCTCCTTTTAGTTTAGTGCACGAATTTTCCAGCCGACTCTAGAGGTGATGGAGTGGGCATCTTTAGCTTTTCCTTCCATACCTTCTTTGGTTTAGATGCGGAAGACGGCTTCTTGTGAGTCGACTGCTCTGACTTTTTGGCCAGTGTACTTGGTTTTACCGGTGTCTTCCAATAACCGTTCCTGGGCATCGTTGTTTCCTTCTCCAGAAAGTTCTGCATAAATTTCACCAGGCTATCCATCTTGGGTGGCTCCACTTCGACCACTTGTATATTCTACGGGTTTGGCCCGTACTTGATTGAAACTCAAACTTCTCTTCCTTCCCGTTAATATGGAAAAGGATACTTCCCGTTCCCACGTCAATGTTGGCTCCCGTGGTGCTAAGGAACGAACGCCCCAGAATGAGTGGCGTCTCTTTTCCTGTATCCATATCCAACACCACGAAGTCAAACGGGATGAAGAAGTCCCGTATCTTAAATGGCACCTCCTCCGCTATCCCTGCCGGGTAACGGACTGACGAATTAGCCAGTTGTAGGCGCATCGGTGTGGATGCCAACACCGTGAAGTTGAGCTTGTCAAAGACGTCCTTTGGCATGACGCTAACACTGGCTCCAAGATCGCACAAGGCCCGGTCAAACTGATGTGCCCTGATCGAACAGGTGATTGTAGGACACCTTGGATCCTTCTTCTTTTCCGGGAGCTTGTGGAGTATGACGTCGTTGCATTGCTCCGTCAGTTTAACCACTTCCGTTGTTGGGAGCAGTCTCTTGTTGTTGAGTATATCCTTGAGATAACGGGCATATGTTGGTACTTGCATAGCATCCAACAATGGCACATTGATGTGGATCTTCTGGATTACTTCAACAAAACGAGCAAGCTGCTCATCCGCTAACGGTTTCCTACTCCGTTGAGGAAATGGCAGCAATCGTGTGTCGCAGTATATCTGCGGCACGGTCTTTTCTGGCTGAACCTCTTTGTCAGCTGAGTCATTAGATGGCGCTTCTTTGGCTATCCCATTAGTTCCTGCAGGGTTAGGATATGGCGAATCACGAGTGGACTTACCTCCCCTCGTCGTGATCGCCTTGACATTTTCTACGGAGGAGTCGGGTTGCCCTAGAATCCTCCTAGTTTCATTTGCAGGGACTAAGGAAGCTAACTGATCTAGTTGGGTTTCTATCATTTTATGGAATCTCAGCTGGTTTTGGAAAGCGGAGGCAAAGCCATCTAACTAAGCATTTATGTTCTCTAGGATCTTGTCATTAGCAGCTAGCTTTTTGCTTAAAGCATCAGTAGTTTTGGTGTGCGCAGAAACGAGATCCTTCAAGAAGGGTTGGTTAGAGAAGTTACCATTGTTGTTACCTCCATAATAATCTGGGCGTGGCTGGTTCCACCCCTGACCTCCTTGTGGATGATGCCCGTTGTTGTTGTTGCCCATGTACATCGCCTCCTCACGAGTTTCTGGGCAGTCATTCCCAGAATGACCCATGTTGCTGCATACCTCGTATGTAACGTGTGAGTCCAAGGCCTTAACGGTTACTTGTGGTCGTTTCTTGTCGTCATCCAAGTGTTTCCTGAGGAGGTCAAGCTTGGTAGCAAGTAGTTCTATCTCCTTGACGGTGTGCATGCCTCGCTGATGGGTCTGGAGTCGTTCCTCGCTCCAACCCATATTGGAGACCATATTCTCTATTAAGTCAACCGCTCCTCGAACCATTTTAGAGAAGAAAGCTCCTCCGGTTGCCGCGTCCAGGTGATTGCGGGACATGGGCATGAGTCCATTGTAAAAGTTTTGCAGGATCAGCTAGTCGTCCATCCCATGATGAGGACAGGCGGCCACGTACTCCTGAAGACGTTCCCATGCTCCGGGAATAGACTCGTCCCTCGTCTGCTGAAAACTGGAAATCCATCCACGAAGGGCATTTGTTTTGCCCATCGGGAAGAACTTCGAGAGGAATACCGTAGAGCATTTGTCCCAGGTGTTGACAGCAGCACGATTGGCGTAGAACCACTGCTTCGCTCTCCCGAGGAGGGAGAACGGAAATAGCCTCAGCCTGACGGCGTCTGGACTGATGCCCTTGATGGTGTATGTGCTACAGATCTCTAGGAACTGCTGCAGATGAGCATTGGCATCCTCGTTAGGCTTGCCACAGAATGGGCTAGCCTGCGCCATCGTGATAAGGCTGGACTTCAAGTCGAAATCCACGTCTCCCATGTTGATCTGCGACCCAATGGCCACATTGTCAGCAGAGGGATCAATGAACTCGCGAAGGGTCTTGTCAGCCATGGTCTTGAAAGTTGGTGGCGCTGGTATGGCTGGTTTCTCTGTCGGTAGAGTTTTCTGTGGAGCAACGACTCACGGCCTGACGCTCCGAAAGAAAGCTTCTGGATTTTCATTGAAGTTTTTCGGCAAGTTGAAACCAGTCATGCACTACCCTTTTTTTAGAACAGAAGTGAAAACAACCAAGGTTAGCTTGGAAAGGAAACTGATTATATAGAGGTAAATATAAAGTATTAGTTCAGGTAATCTCTATTATGAATCTTCCCCGGTAACGGCGCCAGAAATGCTTGTTAATATTTCTTAACGACATTACTAGAAATATAATTCCCAGCAATAACGCAGAAATACTCCTGGTATATTATGGTTACAGAGTTTATCCGCAAGCGCACGGATATACCATTGTAGCATTTCACCCGATAGTATTCCAAGGGTATCGTATTTATTTTATCCCGTGGGAAGATCATGTAGAGAGAACTTGACTAATAATTTATTTGTTACTTGTGATGATCATATCCTAAGCAGGGATTAAGATAATCCAGGGGTAGAGTGACACACAAGCAGTAGCTACTCATTCTCATGATATAATATCTAAGCTAAGTAGAAAGAATAAAAAAAGGAAATCTATTCCTATACTTCTAGTATACATAATATACATACATTCTAGATATCTGATATACTAGCTAATACCTTCTATCCGATGCTCTCATGGTACTTCGAAAAGCCACTCCTGACTGCCGAGCTTCTTACGACAGCCCGTCATGACCATACAACCGGGGCTAAATACGGAGGAATACCCTCCCCAGGGAATTAACTTAGGATTATATACACGCGCGGAGGAATACCCATACTGAGCTGTCACCATCGGCGGCCCACCTCTCATCCGCAGCATATAACTCCAGATAATGATATATCGTAATCTAGACACCACGTCTAAACTACCAAATACTACTCCAATATCATCGTCATGACATAGAGTAATTGCATAAGCAAACATTATACCCGCATCTAAGCATCTCCCAGATAAGCTAGCAACATATTCAGTATAACATGAACATAATGTAAAGTTGGCATTTATATACTCGAAAAGTATTTCAATACCATAAATGTATATAGAAGAATATTCTAATAAAAGTACAAAGCTTACAAAAGAGAAAAGGAAAACTACTAGAGATGTACCCGAACTCTTCTGAAGGCTTCCGAACGCCTGATTTCTACACTAATTCTATTCTACTAAACTAAACTTGAGAGAATATGAGAGAGCTTTGCTTGAGGTGTGTGTGTGAAGTGAGAAGATGAGCTCCTTTTATAGGCAGGTAATGACGGTTATGACGGTTGGAATGGTCGGTATTACCCTCGAACCGTCATTGGGGATCAATCCTAGCCGTCCATCCAAACCCTGCATCCACCGGTGCCACGGGAGATTCGGCCGAACCCCCTGGTTCGGCCGAACCAGGGGCCAGCCCAACCAGCCCACCTTTCGGCTGGCGGCCTCCTCTATTCCTCCTTTATGTAGACTTGTGAATTTTGACCCAGTTTGTCGTGACAATTCTGAGTTCTTGGCCCATTCATACATAAGTCTGATTCTCGACATCGCCTGATTGATTTATCGTTTGTGTTGATGTCGATTCTCCTCCACTTTACGGTCAATCTCTGCAAAGGTTAGTATACCTAATACTAGTGGAATATTATTATTCTAACATATATATGCAATGCAATTATTACTAGTTCTCCTCTATTTTGGTAATATTGACGGTCGAAACTGATCGATAACGACCGTCAACAGCGGCTTAGGAACGTTTGTAAGAAGTTTAATGGACTTTTAATATATAATGGATTTGGGCTAACTAGAGTATTCCAACTTAAATGAATGCATGATGTGCATGTGATCCGTTTGGCATACGTATCAACGTCGTCACCGCTAAAGAAAAAGATACAAGCATGCAATGCCAAACGCCTTCATTTCTATATATGAAATTTATTTGTAATGATCGATGGCCAAGTTAGGGCGGCCGGTGCCTGCAGATGTAACGGCCCGGACCTGGTCATGGTACACATATATATGGCCGGTTGGCCGCCTTGCCCCACGCCTCTCTCTATTAATTGTAAAATTTGGCACACCGATCCAAAAGATCGTTTCTTCAGTAGTGTGTGTCTCTCTCTCTACAAAACCAGTCAATTAGTTGTCATCCTATAGATATATATATATATATGATCCGGACCAGCACGGCTATAGCCTAAGAGCAGGTTAATTGGGCACAACAACTGATTGCATTATTGCATTGTGTCCCTCGATCTCCAGGCAGGTAGCTAGCTAGGGTCGTCGTTGTGCGAGAATGAGCAGCGACAAGTCGTCGTGGCCGGAGGTTGTGGGGCTGCCGGCGGAGGCGGCGAAGCACATCATCCTCAACGACCGGCCGGACGTTCACGTCGTCGTGCTGCGCGTCGGATCCGTCGTCACCACCGAGGTCGACCCCAAGCGCGTCCGCGTCTTCGTCAACAACTCCGCCACCGTCGCTCAGGTCCCCAAGATCGGATAGCATATATAGCCTATAGCTGGCTGTGCTACATATACGTACGTCGACGAGATTATTTATAATTCTGCGCATTTAATCTCTTGTTCTCTTTATGCGTCTGCGTAGCTATGGAAAATAATGTTTTGAATATTACTGCAGTTTAATTTAATTTATTCATCGCTGTTGCTGGCAGTGATTACAATTTCGGTTCGACATTTCGGCCCCCACCTGGAAATCAACATAACGACCGAAATTTGGTCAAAGGTATCAAATCCATTTAAAATATCAAAAAAATTTCGGTCCGCAAAGTGCCGAAATTCACGAAATTTCGGTCCAACCGAAAAATTGGCCGAAATCGAAAATGCAAACCCTGTTGCTGGCAATAAAGTGGAATGTCATATTTTTTTGATCCGAATATAAGTCCCTTACTACTTAAACAAAACCTATATGAAAAGGTGCATGACTGCCAGTTCACACAGTTCTCTGGCTAAGGTCGGAGTAAATTAAATCGGCAGTGATACAAAGTGAAAACAGTTCTATCTATCCTTGAAATAATTAAGATGAGATTATAATATTTTTTTTGGAATTTGCTATAGAACAGCCTGCTGAACACTACTACAGAAAATCACAAAGGATGCGGCACTAGAGGTACCAGAATAATTAAAACCGGTACCTATAGACCTTTTCCTATTCCAGTGAAATGGAAAAATATATAACCGGCACCTTTTAGGAACTATAGGTGCCAATTTAAAGAAAAAACTGGCTGCTAGTTTTCTTAAAAAACAGACACCTATAATGTATTATAGGTACCGATTAATTAAAATATAAATACCTATAGGCCACCTTTGGCAGCCCGGGATCCCGGGGGATCCCAGCCCATTCCCTTGGGAGAAAGGCCCACGGTGAAAATTTCCACGGGCTTTTTTCCTGTCCATATGGAAGCTCACGAGGCAAGGATTTCCCCGCCCAATCCGCGGGGAAACCCTAGGGAAAGAACCCCGACCTCCAGAGGTCGGGAAATTTTCCTTGCGCGATCCGCCGCCACTTCTCTCTCGCACAGAGTCTCTTCTCTCGCGCGCGACCAATGTTGGGCGCCGCCGCGCCTCCTCCTCCGGCGAGACACCACCAGCGCTGCCACCGTACCAGGGTAAGCCTTCTTCTCTTTCCACACCTCTCCTCCTCCTCCTCCTAGGGTTTTTGCTCTTCTTCTCCTCTAGGGTTTCCCCTCAGATCTTGGCTCAGTGGCTCAATCCTCTCTTCTCATCTTCCCCCAACAGCTTCTCTAGAACGGCCACCGTCAATCTTGCTCCCACCTGAAGCAACACGACGCACTCTCTCCAGTGGCAGTGCGCCAGTGCCCCATCCCCCAAGTCAACCTCGACAGCAACCAAGAGCGGTTCTCCAGTGGCCGTCACTAAGCATCGCTAGCACCGTGACTCAGTTCGACTGGTTCGTGTCCTTGATCCCAAATCTGTGCTGTGATTGTTTATGGTTCAGTTTGGTTTGATTGGAAATTTAATTTTTGCATCTTGTGTGAATGTGGAACTAATGAGAGAAACCACGGTGAATCTTGTGTGAATGATCTTTGCAAAGACTTGTTAAGTTCTTGTTTTTTGGTAGACATGTCCAGGCTCAGAAAAGAGTTGATCTAACGAACCACAGGAGAAACCAATGCTTTGCTTTCTTCTGGAGTGTGAAATTTGCATGCAAAAACTGATTAGTAATGTCTTAACATTGCATCAGTAGAGCCCAGGTCTCATCATTGCATGTTTTAACAATCAACATATTATTCTTATTTTGGGAATCTGTCCATGATTAGTACATGTCAAAAACAGGATAGCATTAGTCGTCAGTGCTTAGAGCTTACAGTCAAGATGGACAGTAGGTTATCGCGCATGTGTGATGACAATTTACAATTGTGCAGGTTCATATGCTTTAACACAAGCTACGAGGTAAATTAAACAACGTTGATTAAGAAGGGAAGACGCGCGTCCACTGCTTCGACAGATCAAGTACAAGAATCGTCAAGTATGCCTCCTTGTACTTCCTCTCTTGCCATAATTTAATTTAAATTTAATGCGCAATTTGCAAAGGGTTATTGTACTTTAGCCTGCACTGGTATGTAAACCTTAACTTCTTCACTCAAGATTACTATTTAGTTTTTTTTTCTCTGCTCCGTTTTGTTTCCCTTTTCTCATCTCTAGCTCTAGTTTTACCATGATTCTGTGAAATGAATATATTTAGATCTAACAAAGAATCTTTTTTTTACTGGACAGAGAATCATTTTTTGCTGGAGTTATTAGGAACATTTTATGTTTAGCAATAGTATATGTTCTGATATCTTCATGAAATTCATTATTAAACTGACAACAACCCTTCAAAGCTGAACACTATATCGCTCATCCATTAGACCAGCTAATGCTACTACTATTTTTTTTCTGAGGAGCCAAATTGCTGCATAGGTATGTTTGATGGCCCTACGATTTAATTTGATAGCTCTGCTACATGTATACTTGATTCAATTTCAGCAGATGTAAATGTTGCAACTCTTTGTATTCAGTTCATCTGGTTTAATTCTTCTCTATTCTTGATGGTACTAGCTTAGCTTAATTCTGATCCATTATTGTAGTCTCTATCAGGGAACTGTATAATTAGTGATTAATTTAGCATGCATGTGAGACTAAATAAATGGTAAAAATCTGATTTTTGATAGGAACTCACTGGCAAAACAAACTGACCTAAGTACTAATTAATTAAAACAACAACTACTACTCCTAATTAGTACTGCTAAGTGCTAACCATAACTATCTACACTAATGACAATGTTTGTGTGCTTGCTTGGGGGCATAAAACTAAGAGACAGAGTTAGCTGGAGATGGCCACGGTCCGTCTGAAGCATTGCACATTAATTTGCATCTCAAACTGTAGTAGCATGAGGCTTTAATCTGTCTGATCAGTTTGCACCTAAACAGCAGCTCAACAGCACTGCAGTTCAGCTGAAAATGTTGCAAAAGTTTACCCAATGAGGACTCACATAGGGGGTATATATATGAGATGCACTTCTTTTCCTTGTCATGTCCATAATGATAATTGTCCTCTTGCACTCTTCATCTTGCCATGATTCAATTTGAATCTCTGGATTGGCATAAACAAGGATTGTCCCACACAAAGCTATACTCTAGTCTGCATTTTCTATACAAGAAGTATTTGAATACTTTTTTTTCTACCAACACTACAGGTTGCACCCTTACTTTGTGTTTTTAATTCTTGGATGTAGGCAACAGGCCTTGCCCTCGTATATTCAGCCTTGTTCTCAATTTGGAGCAGCGATGGAGATAGTTGATGCTCATGAATGCAGGAGGAAAACACTTCCAAAATATTTGTAAATGATAATTGTATGAATTACATCTTGTATTTGCTGAAAGTGATATTTCTTGGATGTTCATATAATACTTGGCTAAATACTGTAGATGGTACCTCAATTTGATCATCTCATGAATTAAGCTGATGCTTGTATCTATAATGTTCTCTATTTTACCTAGAATTTATTGCTCTACTTGGAGTTCATATGATTTTTCAGATTTTTTTTTCATGCATTTTTAACTGAATTATTCTATTTTTGTGCTCGGTTATGTTTATTTAGACATTTTTTTATCTTGTTGTGTGTGCTCCAACTAGCCATTCTTTGGTAGAGTAGGCTCAAAACTTAAAAACCCTAATCATCCCCCAGTCCCGTGAGCTGCTTCCTAATGATAGCAGGGAAATCTCCCCTAGCGGGAAGTGCTTCCCCTATGGTACAGGGAAAATCCCTGTATGGGGTTTTTTCCCAGGGGTTTTCTCCCCGTGCATCCAAAGGAGCCCATAATATATTATAGATGCCGAATTTTAAAAAACTGATAGCTAAAAACCAAGCTAAGTCAATCGATGCCAATCCTTATCCTTAAACCCACCCATATAACCGCCTCTCTCTCTCTCTCACTTTCTCTTACTCGCTCTCCCCCACTGTCTCTCTCTTTCTTTCTCTCTCATCCCTGCCCCCTTCCCCTCTCGCCTCCCTCAACGGCGGCAGATCTGGCAGAGGCGATGGCGTCAGCGACTCCTGCGGGCCGGATCCGATGGTCCTATACCCCCTCCCCCTCCCCCTCCGCCCCTAACCTTCTTCCGTGGCAGAACTGGTGGCAGCGGTGGTGTCGGTGGCTCCCGCGGGCAGATCCAATGGAGGCGATGGCAGTGGTGTTTCTGACAAGCGGGTCCAGCGGTCCTCTACCCCCTCTCCGCCCCCCCCCTACCCCCAAGCTTCTCCCTCGGTGGCGGCAGTGGCATCGAGGCTCCCACGGGCGCATCAGGCATAGGCGACAGTGGTGGCATTTCCAACAGGCGGATCTAGCGGCCCTCCACCCCCTCCCCTTCCTCCGCCCCCAAGATTCTCCTGTGATGGCGGCGGTGGCATCGATGCTCCTGCGGGCGGATCCGATGGATGTGGCAGCCGGCGGTGGCATTTCTGACGAGCGGTTCCGGTAGTCCTCTACCCCTCCCCCTCCACCCTAAGCTTCTCCTGTGGCGGATCCGGTTGTGGCGGCGGATCCCGCGGGTGGATCCGGCAGAGGCCAATTGATTGTTGTTGTTGTTGTTGTTGTTGTGATGATGTTGTTCTTGTTGTTGTGATGATGACTATGATCGATAGTTCGTTGTGGATTGATTTTGGGGGTGAAGAGGGATGGATGCGCTAGGTGCATCGAGCCCTTTTTTTTTCCCAACCCGGGAACCATAAAGGTGTCAGTTCCTAAGCAACACCTTTTAGGAGACTCAAAGGTGCTGCTTGCTTGGGAAATCCAGCAACTAACATGTTTTTTGTAGTAGTAATATTTTTGTTTCATTTGCGGAATTTATGTTAATTGGAATATTTTCCAAGATTCATGTTGGAGGGTTGTCGGGCCGGATAGCCGACCGGGTTGAATCATGAGCCCAAGAGTGATAACTGCACGGTCCACGCTGCATATGCCTTCGTTTCCATCGGTACTCATGCTGTTCAAAATTTAATCCCCATTTTTCTCACACACGCAGAGAAGAGAGGATTGATTTGGATCTATTCTTATCGGCGCCGTTGTCGTGATGCCCTCTTCTCCAGCGGATGGCGGAACCCTTGGGCTTGGCTTCGTTATCAAGAGGGTGGAGCGTGCGGCTTATTTGTGGAGGTTGAGGTTGTGGAACAATCTCGTCCATTTTTGCTACATCATCGTCGTTGGTGTTTGATGCCTTTCCATCCGCCACTGCCAGTGTGTGCGCACTTTTTTCAGAGATCGGTGACTGCAACATCTCTGATATATGGCAAATTTTGTTACAGGACACTTCGACTTCATGCTTTTAGCCGTAGGATACTGGCCGAACTCACTTTTAGGGGAAAATACTCTATAAACATGGTAATTTGCCAATGGACACCACGCCGATTAGAATAATAATTTCAGGTTGAGGAGGAGAGAGAAATCACGTAAAATGTCAAAAACGCCCATGGGCCCACATGTCAGCTCTCCTATCTCTCTTCTCTTCTCTCTCTATCTTCTTCCAGCGATGCCGGTCACCGCCGCCCTGCGGCGCCTTCTTGAACCGCACCCACATCCGCATCAGGTCGCTTGCCGATGGCACATCCTCCCGCCCGTAGCTCGCCCACCACTTGCTCTCTTATGGCAAGATCGAGTACATCAGCAGCGGGAGCCGCAGCAGCAGCTGCACCCCGTCCCGAGCACCGCGCCTTCCTGGATGCGCGGCGGATCCCCATCGCGACCTCTCCTCCCTCTCCAAACTCTCTCGATCTCGTCCGGCCGGCCACCACCGCTGTCTGTCTTCGTGCCGTCGTCATTGCCGCTGCCGCATTCGCCGTCACCATGCCGACGCAGCTGTCACCTGCACGTAGCACCACCGCCATGCCACTGCCGCCGTCAAAGCCACCGCCGTCGCCACCGTGCGCCAGGATCTTGATCTTGAGACCTTCCGCCGCCGCCTCCTCGTCGTCGTCCTCACCCTCCGCCACTGCCGCCCCACGCAGCGAAGGCGCAGTCACCGCCACACCGCAGTTGCCGCAACCGCCATCGTCGCGCGTTGTCGTGGTCGTCATCAGCATCGCCGCCGCTGCACGACTCCCGGTGCACCCAGTGCTACACTCCGCCACTGTTGCCGCCGCACGACTGCCGGCGCTCCCGGTTGAAGAGAGATGGAAGATATGACATGTGGGCCCAAGGGCATTTTATAACTTTCACGCGATTTGTCTCTTCTCTTCAACCAGAAATTAGTATTTTAATCGGCGTGGTGTCCACTGGCAAATTACTATGTTTATGGAGTGTTTTTCCCCAAAAGTGAGTTCGAGCGGTGTCTTACCGCTAAAACCACGAAATCAAAGTGTCCTGTAGCAAAATTTCCCCTTGATATATCACTCAGTCTTCTTATTGTTCCACTGAAATTCGAACGTATTGTGCTTTCGTTTTGTGGACGCAGCTTTTAGCCTGCACTCTGACCAGGTCCTCTTCTGGCTTCTTCATTTTGTATAGAGATTAATATTTCTAGTGAACATAACTTAATTAGTTTGTGTAGTTCTTTCATCTACTAAACATAACTTAGTTTGTAGATTTTTTTTTATTTTCGTAGTTTTGGTTTTCTAAATTTTTTTAGTTTTGTTAGGTATTAAACATGATTTGTTACTTTTGTAGTTTAGTCAGCTACTAAACATTAATTAGTTTTCTTAGCTAATACTTTCTTTGTATACTTTTTTTTAGTTTTGTACTTTTCGTTTTGTTTCTATCAGATTTTGATAATTTTGGTATATATTAATCAGGCTAATGCGCTCTCTACATGATAATAACTATAAAATCATATTATTTAGATCATAGCCTATCTTCTATTTGTTTTGTATTTGTTTTGTCAGATTTTTGTAATTTAGGGTTTTGTATCTTGTCATAGCCTATTATAGCATAATTCCTACACCTCTGAAGGGTACATATTAATCAGGCTGTTGTGCTATCTATATGACAATAACTATGTAATCATATTATATTATTTAGGTCATCGCTTAGCCGTGGCTTCTCGTCGGCACAAGCCATCAAAGGCTGACCGGTGGTAGGGTACCCATTAATGGCCGTGCGTCTGCTTGTGTGCGCAATAAGGGCTGTATATGCAGGCATAACAGCTTCCATTTCTCTCGCCCATCAACGATTCCTGATGCCTTCCAAACTTAGATAGAGTTGTGCTGCTTGATCGAGGAGCTGCTTTAATATACTTTAGGTCGTCTGGGGTCATGATTGTCGAATCTGTACTAAATATGTAATATATGGTCGTTTCTTTCTTTGAAGATCTTCTGAAATAAGACTTCAACAGGGTTACTCTGAAGTCTTCATGTTAGAGCAGCTCAAAATACTAATCTGATGGGTGATGCTATAATACAGCTATAGATAAAATAATGAATGATTTAGAAAGATGAGTGAACAAAACATACTAATATATAGAGCGAAAAAGTGCGATGCTATAATACAGCTATATTATTGCAGCCGAGCTGTTTTCATTGAAGTCATTGATTGACGTAGCGGTACTGAACATGTACTAAACGGGTAGGAAGGTTTGATGATTTATTAACAGTCCACAGTTACACTATGAAAAGTTTAACTAAATTTTCCTTTATTTGCATGGGCTTAATTTCATAGGTTCTCGAGCACCAAACGGCCACTAGAACGGTAACCACTATCTCAATCGGACGGCAACCCCCATTACAATCGGGTACGGCATCCGTCACAGCTTAGAAGTCACAGATGTGAAAAGTTATCTCAATCGGGGCAAACGGCCGTCACGGGTGAAGCTATCTCAGTCGGGCCTTAATTAAAGCCCATCACTGATAGCTTTGACCCTGATGACCAGTCAAACTATAGCCCGTCACGGATGACCAATCTTAATCGGGTCACAACTAGCGTCCATCACAGATGACTACTAACCTCAATCTGGCCTAAACTAGAGCATGTCACGGATGACACACATCTTAATCGGGCCTAAACTATAGCCCGTCACAGATGACCCTTATCTGTGATAGGCAGTAACTATAACCCGTCAAAGATGACCCTCATCTCAATCGGACACTAAGTTAATGCCCGTCTGTTAACAACCAAATTTGGTAATTCAAGTATCGGAGATGAAGATAGAATCGAAGTGGAATCCAAGATGGAGATCGTTCTAGAAACAGAGCGAGAATCGGCTAAAGTCCGAATCGGCTGCGATCAGGATTCGAAGAGTTCGAGTCGGACAAGGTTGGCCGATTAAGCCGATTCCGACAATATGACTCGGTACACATTGTCGGGTTGAGTTAATGTGCTTGATGAGGATTGCCTTGCATGGATTGAGTCCTGAAAAGGCAATTGTATCTATTAATTAGGATATTTCATGTAATTTCCTTAGAGATAAGTTTGGGCAAAAGTCTGCCGCAAAGACTTATGGTATCTTAGAGTTTGTTAAAGATAAGAGTCGTGTCCGATATGGACATATTTTGTAATCTCGGGTATAAATAGATCCCGAGCCGAATGTAATACAACAACACACGTTCAAATACAATCTCGGCGCATCGCCACCCTTTTACTTTCGTTTTCTTTCGACGAGTTATTGCTTTCGGGTTGAGCTGCATCGGTTTCAATCTTCAACTAGAGGTAAAACTTGTTATGGCGGCTTGCGTTCTCGGGATTAGTGCTTCCATCATTATGATACTCTAATTTTGTTTACGTAAGTTGTCGAGTTATCATATATCCTATATAATCTCTGGCAATATTGTTATTTAACCTTCAATCGGCTAACATCTGACGCTAGAAGGCAGCCGATCAGGTTAAATACCAACGTTGACTTAGATTATATAGGGTGTCCACCACTCTATGAAACATCCAACAGCTTGATTGTCTAGATATTGTCCTTCTTTTCATACTTAATGCTGCATCAGTTAAGTTTGATCTATTAAGTCGTACTTAGAATCTCAATCTCTAGCCTGCTTTTGGTTGCCGATTAGGGTGGTATCGGGGTTTTAGCCGATCTTACCTGATTTAGCCTTATGTTTCATTTGCTTAATTGATATGCTAGATCTGCCCTTTATGTTAAGATCTTATTACAACAAAGTATATTAGGCTTCTGTTTGGTATATTTTACTTGCTTTAATATCTTAATATAGAGTAGTGTCGGAGTATTAGCCGATACATGCTAGATCTATCTGATCGGCTATACTGTAAGCGTTTATAATCTCATTGTTAATATATATATCGATCTAAGTGATTTATACTGTCTCGGCATGGCGACCGATCTATCCCAATCACTTGATTTAAGTATATATCGACATAAGGATTGTATGTCGTTAATATCTACAGCCGATCGAATAGGTTTAGTTCTTTCTTACTTATGCATGACTGCCGATCGATTCAAATATGACATTGGCTTAAAGATAAATGATATGTCATCGGCGGCTGGCTGATCGGCTATCATTTATGGATTTAACCGCTATTTTCTTGTCTTTGTTTCTTGTTGATTGTAGGATCAAATCAACTGGCACGCTCACGAACCTAAAAGCAAGATTTTTGGACCTGCACTGAAGTTAAGTAGATCTTCTAGGCATCGTATTTTCGCATCAACACCGCCACAGATGAGTATAATAAAAAAATTATTTTTTGGCTAGTCTCAAGCCTTTGCTAGCCATGACGTCCCGCCTCTATCAGGCTGGGCTAGTCTTTTTTGTCCTCACTTGAGTGCACCCGATCAATCACCCATCCCAAAATTGCTCCAACCCAAGCATGCTTAACATCAAAGTTCTTTAGAGATCGGCTTCCGGAAAAGAAGTTGTAACTTGTATTAATCCTATTAAGCCCTAGCCAGGATGTCACACCCCAACATCCTCTATTCATATACATTCATTCACATACACAACCATCAATAGATTTAACACAACCACATTCGCATAACATCCATTTTGATCACATATTTCACATCTATTTACATATTTCAACAGCAAAATCGAGTTAATTGGATAAAATATATATTTAGCAAGTATTATCATGAAGATGAGGCAAATCAGACTTCTAGGCAAAAATGAATTTCGAATTGAATTTTATGATACTAAATGAACTCATATGAAAAATCTGTCAAAAACAAAGGTGTAGAACTCATTGAGATCTGTCAAAAATAAAGCCCGTCACAGATGAGTAATCGGTGACGGGCTCTATACTAATGCCCGACTGAGATGACCTATCTCTATCGGGAATTAAATAATGCCCGTCACCGATGAATATTTTTCCATTTTCCATATGAAATGTTTATATTCAATTTATGTGGTATTTTTTATTTGCAATTTATGAGAACTTTAAATTTAATTTTAAGCCGATTTTTGTGTATCTAATGCAAAAATCACAAACAACAAAATTCTATAACTCATCGAGATCAACAACAAAATTGTACAAATCATCGAGATCTACAACTA